CCCTAAGCCGCAAGTCCTTGGGAGCAACCATGGAGGTCCCTGGAGGACAGCAGACATCCTTCGAAGGCCTCCAGAGGCCCCAGACGGGCGAAAACGCTCAAAACGATCTACATTGAACGAAGTTGAGCTCGCCGACGAAAACTCGAGGGCGGGATGATGCGTGCGCGTCATCATGCTGTAATTATCTTCGGGGGGCCTTCTCTGTCCCATCGCGCACGCCGAACCCGCGTCGAAGTCGAATCCGTGTCGAACCCGCGTCGGATGCAAGTAAGGACAGCCATTCACAGGACCGACGGCACTGAGATCCGACGTCGCGAAATAAGAGCAGATTGTAGAAGCACGCGACTGGAGCCCTCGACACCATGTTTCTGCGGCACGTCTCGGGCTGCATCGATCCGCGAGGTCGCGGGGCCCGAAGCCTGGCAAAAGAACCCAGGCGTGAGCACACATACGACACGTGGATCTCTGGAGGCCTCCCAGAGAGGGTCGGAGGAACGCGCCGTCTCGCCGATGCATCTTGGCAACGCGCACAAGGGGCGGAGGGAGGGGGGAAGGCTTCTCAGAAGGAGGCTGCTTCTTAGAAGGCGCCGGCCTTACATCTCTACATCAAGCAGGGGTGCTTCTAAGAAGCCCTCCCCCCTCCCCCCACTCCTCTCTGCGCGTAGCTGAGCATCGCCGATACATCGGCGACACATCGGCGACACTGGCGATGCCTCGGCGACGTCGGCGTGGAGAAAATGGGGCTCCACACCGAGCCGCATCGCCAACGCTCAAGGGGCCCTGGGACACACAAATAAATACACACAAATGACAGGATTCCCCATACTCTTTCATATTTTCTGGATTTTCGTCTTCCCCCCCATTGTCAATATTGTTCCATATTTTCCTGCGAATCGACGATTACTTGTGTCTGTGTTTTTTCCCCTCCTGAATGCATCGGCGATGCGGCGCGGTCCACCGAGCCCATCTGCTCCGACCCCACCTGGGAGGCCTCGCACGAAGAGCACGCGACACAAGTGATGGGCCTGTTTTCCACCACCACCACCACCACCACCACAAGTTGGAGGGGGCAAGGAGGAGGAGGAGGAGGAGGAGGAGGAGGAGGAGGACCCCCTCCACCTCCTACTCATGGTGGTGGTGGAAAATTTGCCCCTCAGCGAGGACCTCGGGGAGGTCCTCCGAGAGTGCGGTGCAGGCTTCCGGCCGCCCCGCGCTTCCTGCGCTGGCCCGGCCACCAGCACAGCCTCGGCCCCCGCGGGCGCCGGCGCGGGGCCGCTGCCCTGCGGGCTCCGCGCGGGGGACTCTTCGGCCGCCGGCGCGCAGCCGCAGCCGCAGCCCGCGAGCTCGCGGGCCGCGCGGGCCGCCGCCGACGCCGCGACCACGTCTCTCGGCGGTGGTCCGAAGAGGGGGCCCTGAGGGATGGGGCCCTCGGGACAAGAAGGGACCCGACGGCGCAGGCCCGACGCGGGAAGCCCCGAGTACGGAACGCGATGCGACGGCAGCGGCCTGCGCTTGGCTCCCCGTGCCCCGCGAAGGCCGCGCACCAAAGGTCGCTCTTGCTCAGCGTCGCTCTTCAGAGGGGGAAAAGGTACCCACACCGCTCTTCGAGGCGCCTCCTCGGGACCCCACCTTTGAGCCACCGATCTCAGCGTGGGGCGCGCCGCCAGGCCGCACGGCCGCGCCGCGCGCGGGGCCCTGCGCTCCCCGGACGGGCGCCCGCGGCTCCCCGGGCGCCCAGGCCGTCGCGAGAGCCGCATGCTCGCGGCCGCGGCCCGAGCGCTGGGGCCAGCCCGCAGGCCGGCGCTGCGGCTGGAGCCCAGCGGGGGCCGAAGGGGCGAGTGGCGGAGGAGGGGCAGGAGGAGGAGGAGGAGAGGACGACGACCAGAGTAAACCCAAGGGTCACCAACGATGCTGGAATAAGCCCTCCCCCCCAAGCTCCCTCTTCATAGGCCCCTACAACGGTTCATTTCCACAGAGGGACCTGCCTCGTTGGAAGACAACCGCTTGAAGACCCTGAAGCATGCCAAACCATTATTCTCGGTATTCCAACGCCACGGATGAAGCTGACTGTTGCGTCTTGACGATCCTGAATCGCACCAGAACGCCCTTCCTGGGATCTCAACTCCGCGAATCATCGTAACTGTTGAGCCCTGAGAATCGTGAATACTTCCAAAACACCATTTCTGGTACGTCAATCATGGGAATCCGTGAAATTTCTGCAATTGTTTAAGACGAATGTGTACGGCGCTAAGGCGAGAGCCACATTCTGAAAACGACCCGCCCTCCATCTGTGAAGCTGTTGCAATGTTTGAAAAAAATGTGCGCCGCACTAAGACGAGAGCCACATGTTAAAAACGACCCGCCCTCAATCCGTGAAACTCTTGCAACTTGTTTCGTGAAATCATTGCAATTAATTTGTTTAACACATGTGCGCGGCGCTAAGGCGAGAACAATATGTTGAAAACGACCCGCCCTCAATCCGTGAAACTCTTGCAAATGC